GCAAAATAGCGGCAGCTAGGGAGGCAGCTCAGTGGGTAAGGAAGGCGCTTACTGTGCAAGCAGGAACAGCCAATTTTGGGTCCCAGCACCCATGTGAAATCTAGGTATGATCCAAGTACAGCATGCTCTTTTAATCCTTCAGGAGACAGAGGTAATCAGATTTCTGTGAGTCCAGGCCAGCCTGGTCAAGTGAGTTAGTTTCAGGCCAGAACTGGGCAGCTGAAACACAAGGATGTCAGGGCTCATTGGCCAACCAGTTTAACCAATCCATGAGCTCCAGGTTCAATGACACAGGAGGATCACTGAATGTATCAGTTTCCAGACAGAGCTTCATATCCTATCTCTGAAAGAACTAAAACAGAAACAAAACAAAATAAGAAACAATAGGGCCCTGGAGATGGCTCAGCTTGGAAAAGCGAATGCCACCAAGCCTGACAACTGGAGTTCCATCCCCAGATCCCACATGGTAGAAGGAGAGAACCAATTCCTTCAAGATGTCCTTTGACCTCCGCATATGTGACACACATGCGCACAGGTATTCGTGTGTGTGTGTGTGTGTGTGTGTGTGTACAATTACACACATGCAAAAATGTAGTTTAAAAAATTAAAATATTAGAAACAAAAAATCCAATTGTATACTTAATAGAATTAGTGGGAAACTGATGGTTTAAATTTCTTTTCTTTTCCCTTTCTTTCTTTCTTCTTTCTTTTGTTTGAGACAGTGTGTCTTATGGCCCAAGCTAGCCTCAAATTTGTTATAGAACCAAGGCTAGCCTTGAATTCTTGATCCTCCTGCCTCCACCTCCCAAGTGCTAAGATGACAGTTGTGAGCCACCACATCTGTTGTTTGTTTTTTAATCTAAAAATCTTACTATAAATTGCCCAAACTTGCTGTAATTTTTCTGCCTCAGCCTTCCCCCGCCCCCGCTCCTTCTTCTTTTAGAGACAGGGTTTCCCTGTGCAGCCCTGGTACTCGCTCTTTAGAACAGGTTTGGCCCTGGACTCAGAGATTTGAGTTCAAACTCAGAAATCCCAAGTGTCTGGGATTAAAGGCATGTCCAATACACCTTGCTTTCAGCCTCCCATTCTTTAAAATTAGTTATTAAACTGCTTTTACATTTTACTTATGTGGGTATTTATTTATTTATTTATTTATTTATTTATTTATTTATGATATGAAGAAGGGTGTGTGACTGCCATGGCATCCTGAGGAGGCCAGGGAACAAGTTGCAGGAGTCAGTTGTCTTTTTCCATCATGTACGTTCCAGGAATTGAACTCACGCCTTCAGGTTTGCCAGGAGGTGTCTTTTCCTGCTGACCATCCCGCTAGCCCCTTCTTTAATTTCTGACTCACACATATCAATCACTTTTGGAACATCCACGCCTTGCATGCTGATCAAATCAGGATAGGGAGCATATCTGCCAACTGTAACATTTATTAGTTCTTCATGATGAGAACAGACCAAGTCTCGCAGCTATTTTAAAATATGCAGCACGTCATGATTATTATTGACAAAACTGCTTTTTTCTTTTTTTCAGCCATGAATGTATATGGATAGGTTCTCGTGTTGAGAAACAGAGACTTGAGAATCTGGCAGAAAGGAAACGCTGATGAGAAAGGAGGGAGGTGGCCAGAGCAGAGAGAAAATTTAGCAGCCCCAACAGTCATGCTGTCCACAGATGGGGCTGCATCAGTGGCGTCATTTGGCTTATTTGCATAGTGCTGGCTTTTCTGAGCATGCTTTCTTACGTTTAGTCCTACATACATTTTCGTATATATACAATGCTTCATTGGCATCTTAAATCTCCACCCAGGGGCGATCCTTTTAGAATCACAATAAACCATGGGTCTCCTCCAGACCCTGGAGTGCCTCTGTGTCTGGGGCCAGATTTAGTCAGAATCAGGGCTGGGCATTTCAGTCTTCCTCTTTGCCACCTGTTTTATTGAGGTACCAACTTTTGATTTTCCTAAAGACTTGTTTTCTAGTATATGTATGAGTGTTTTGCTTGCATGTATGTATGTGCGACTTGTGAGTGCCTTGTGATGATCACAGCAGCCAGAAAACTGTGTCAGACCTGGTGGAACTGGAGTGACACATGTTTGTGAGATAGGATAGGGGTACCAGAAATTGAACCCGGGTCCTCTGCAAGAACAACAAATACTCTTTTTTGGGGGTAGGAGGAAGGGAGTTGAGACAGGTTTCCCTGTGGAGCCCGGGCTATCCTAGAACTCACTCTGTAGACCAGGCTGGCCTGAAACTCAGAGATCTGCCTGCCTCTGTCTCCAGAGTGCTGGGATTAAAGGTGGGCCCAACCACCACCACCCACAAATACTCTTAAACCCAGAGTCATCTCCCCAGCCTCCAAATTTTTCACTTGAATTTTCTGCATATTGATGTGTGCATGCACACGTGTCTGTATTGTTCTCTCATGGAGGTGCACATCTGAGTTGTTAAGGATTGTGTGGAATATCTTCCTCAGTTGCTCTCCCTGCCTTTTTATTATTGTTATTATTATTATTATTACTATTACTATTAAGGTAGAGTCTCCTGCTGACCATAGCTCACTATTCTGGCTAGACTGGCTAGGCAGCTTGCTCTGGGGATTCTCTGTGGCTTCCTCCTGTGAGCTGGGATTACAGAAGGCCTAACACACACAAACACACACGCACGCACGCGCACACACACACACATGCACATATGCTCACATGCATGCACTGGCTTCAGCATTGGCTCTGGAATCTGAACTGTGGTCCCGACATATGCCAGGTAAGCGTTTGGCTTCCTGAGCCATCAGCATTAGCACAGTGAGATTGGAGTGGTCTTATGTAGCCCAGGCTGGCCTCAAACTTGTTATGTCCCCCAGACTGTCCTTTAACTAATGATCTTCTTGCTTCCCCCTCCCAAGGGCTGGGACTGCAGGTGTGAGCCCCCATATCTGGTGCCCCCACACCTGGTTAGACACACCTCTTAGAGGGAGGTCTCCCTAGGCCCTGGTGCCAGCCGATTAGTTCTCTTTGATCCTGAAACAAGCTAATTAGATGACAAATGGTCACTTCTCCTCCATAAATATTTTTTTTTCTATTTCTTCTAGGTCGAAAACTTCATCTGTTACGTAACCCAGAAGTCTAGAGCATGGGAGAGAAGCAATTCTATATCAACCTGGATCAACCTGGCCCCCTCACCACTCAGTCATTAATCGGGGCCTCTGTTACGAAGTCGAAAAATAGGGAAGTGCTCAGTCAGGAACTTGTAGGTGCTCTAGCAGGTTTTAGCAAGGGAGCCAAGGAGGAGTCAAAAATGAACACACAAGTGCAAAAGCCTGTGGGCATACATATCACCAGACACAAGGATGTCACATTGCTAAGCCCAAGACTGTCCAAGTGGAGATTTGGTAAGGGTGATCTGTTCCATGGGATTTTCTACTACTGTATTCAGCTATCCTATATTCTCTCTCTCTCTCTCTCTCTCTCTTTCTCTCTCTCTCTGTCTCTGACAGGTTATCATATAGCAGAGGCCAGCCTTGAACTTGCTGCAGAGCTCACAATGCCTTTGAACTTCTTATCTTTCTGCCTCCACCTCATTATAAGGAGATTACAGACATAACCCACGACCACCGTTTAGCCTTCCCTAGGGATTGAAGCCGAGGCCTCATGTGTGCTAATCAAGCACTCTACCGGTAAACTGAGCTATGTCTCCATAGCGGTTGTTTGCCTTTTATCTGCCTCGATTTTTGATGAAAATGTTTGTAGCTTTGACATTGTCGTTGAATACCAACAAGGCTGTGACATTTCACAGCACAGTGATTTAAACAAACTGACAGCTTTGGCATGTGTCTGACACTTTCAGAAAATGTCTAGGCCATGGAGTGACACATGTCTGTCTTTCCATCCTCTGTGCTTCATTCATGTTACCATGTAGCTTCCGGTGGCAGTTCAATCAGATGGAAATCAATATGCAGCTGAAAGGTCTCCCAGGGTGTCGGGCTGGGTGGCTGTGAGTGGTGTTGTCTTTCCACACTCCTTCAACAGGGTCCTGGGAAAACAAATGATGCCCTTCAGCCGGAGAAGGTTTTGGATTTAACCACCAAGTGCTGAAAAGTGAAGCCACAGTCGACCCCTTCTGAGTAACACGATGGCGAGAAAGGTTCTTGAGAATTTGGTCACAGTCTGTTTCTCTGAAAGGGCCAGATATTTGCCCCAAAGTCCTGGGGGAGGAGGAGCTTGGCAACAAGGCAGGCTCGGTAGCCCAAGCTAACGGTCCCAACACTCTTTCAAAACCCAAGAAACACAGACCAACCAAAGGAGGAAGACTCATGCTTAGCGTGGGGTTACTGGTGTGCTAACCACAGCTCTTTCAGGCTTTTACTGAGAGGCTCAGTCCAGTCATAAAGGTGAGGACAAATCTAGGTAAGCCAGAGGATCCCACCTGTCACTTTCAGGGTCCGAAGTGACAGTATCGGTATGGATTATCTGACGGCAAGGAAGCCCTTCTCTGCTCTTGGTGAACTTAACCCAGGGTGCTGGGTGATAAATGGTCACCAAAGCCATTGGCTTCTGGGTACATGCTCTCACGTCGAAGAATCAAGAGGAATTCGAGACAAGGAGTAAATAACAAGAGGAGACGTTGATTTATTGCCCCGCCCAGTGGTTTTTCTTTTCTTTTCTTTTTTTTTTTTTGACAGGGTTTCTCTGTGTAGCCCTAACTGGCTTGAAAATCACTCTGTAGACCAACAGAGATCTCTCAAGTGCAGAGATCTACCTGCCTCCGCCTCCCGAAGTGCCAGGATCAAAGGTGTGTGCCACCATCACCTGGTGAGACTGGTTGTTTCTGAAGCATTGTGGGAGAGAGCTGGTAAGAAATCCGTAGGCCAGTATTAGGGTTCTCCACGCCCCACAAGCTCGGCGCTCTCCCCGGCGAGGGATGCGTGTGTGACTAGCTCATGATCCACCCCTCGGTGACTTGCTGACTTCCTCCAAGGAGCAGACTCCTGTCTCAGCACGGCTCTTCTTAAAGATCATGTCTAGGGGGGGACAAAGCGATGGCTCAGTATGTAAAGGCACTTCCTGCAAAACCCCCCAACCTGCCTGAGTTCAATCCCAGAACACATGAGGGGAGAAGAAAAAAGTGTTGTCCCCTGACCTCCACACACTTGAAGTGACACGTGTGCAGCCACACCCATACACATTAGGTAAACATATAGAGATAATAAATAAATATAATAAAAACTATATCTAGGGATGTGAGAGTGAGGGGGTCCAGGAGTTGTGTTGATGTTGTTGTTAGGATGAAGGAGTGGGTATATCCAAAATACATTGTATACATGGATGACATTCTAACAAGATAAAGAAAAAATGCTATTTATAAGTATTTTCCCGTGGGTGCTTTAAGAGAGAGTGTGTGTTCTCAGCAGCAGTGAATGAAAGCATGAAAGCCCATGGCACAGAGCCTGATTCCCGTTTCCAACACGTGTGTGTGTGTGTGTGTGTGTGTGTGTGTGTGTGTGACTGCCATTCCAACGCATGCCGTTGTGTCTGCTGTCCTGAGTTTCCATCCCTGCTGATAACTAGTGTTCTAGTTATCAGGATGAAAAATGGTGCTCAGTGCCGTTGTCTCCGAGACATTCGGCACCCTTTGCCCAGCCTGCTACCTCTTCTCTGGGTGCTTAGGTGAGGATGAACCCTGGCATCAGAACGCCTGGGGTGGCATCTTGACTCTAATGCTCATTAGCTGAGAGAGCTTGCTCGTAACACAGAAGTAACGGCGCCTCTCCCCTGGGTAACTGAGAGGTCCAGATGTGTTAAGGCAGATGTCGGCCACGGGATGGTTATAACAGCTGATAAGTTTCTGTCACCTACTGAGGTAAAGATCCTCGCTGTCCAATCCTGATGGCCCGAGTTTGATCCCTGGAGCCTCCACACACGTGTGGTGACACGTATGTGTCTTCATTCACAAACACACGTCATAAGCGTACTAATGAATAGAATTAAATGTTATAAAGCAAAGCACATACGATCATGCACAGTATGTAATAGTTGGTAATGGCTATAAAGCACCGTGCAACTATGCATTTGCTATATTTTATCTTTGTTTTAGAGTGCACTCCTATTCATTTCAAAAATAAAGACGGGGTCTAGAGAGAGATGACTCAGAGGCTAAAAGCACTTGTCGCTCTCGCAGGGGAGCTGGGTTCAATTTCCAGCACCCACACAGTGGCTTTCCAACCATCTGTAACCCCAGTCCCAGGGATCAAACAGGACACATGGGTGTACAGACACATATGCAGGCAGTCATGTACATGAGGTAAAATAAATTTGTAAGTGAATTGTTTAAAATTACAGTAAAATAATATGACATGTTCTACCAGCAGGCATGTTTACTACATCACTTTGTGTACACGCATGCGTGTGTGTGTGTGTGTGTGTGTGTGTGTGTGTGTGATCCTGGGGATGGAAGCTAGGACTTCACACATGCTGTTCTCTACCACTGAGCTATATCAGTTGCTGAGGTCTCCCTTGAACCTACTCTATAGTCTAGGCAGGCTTTGACGATAAGATCCTCCTTATCAGCATCCCAAGTGGCTGGGATTACAGGCCTGCCCTGCCATACCCGGAGGCTGGATCTCTGATTGCACCCAGTCAGTTGGTTGATCAATACCCTCGAGGCTTGCATAAGTGCACTCTATAGTATCGATAGGAGCCCAGAAGCACCTGACTCCCTCAGAGAGTTTCCATCGTTAAGCCACACTCAGTTGCACCTGTCCGGGCTTCAGCTCAGTGTCTGGCACTATTTGCTGAGTGCAGGGTGGGTGGGTATTCCCTGCAGTTAGTGCTGCTGTGGTCATAACTCCCCCTGAAAACACTGACTCATTTAGCCTCAGAATAGAAACTGGCGATGCTGACAGACGTGACCCATCTACGGACAGAACGGCCCCACGTCTCATAAAACCACAGCAGCTCATTGCAAATGCCGCTCGTGTTTCACTTCTCTGCTTCTGTCCCACAATGTCTGACAGAAACAATCTATGGTGGGAAAAGCTTAATTTGGCTCACAGTTTCAAAGGGATTTCAGTCCGTCACTGTGGGATGGACAGGGCAGCACTCAGGGCACAACAGATGTTTACGAGAAACTAGAGGAAGTGGCCTACTTCCTCCAGCCCTCGACAGAGTGCCTAAAGTTTCCAAAAACTCCAAAATTAGCACAGAGGTTGGGTGGGGTGGCACGTGCCTTTAATCCCTACAGGGGAATCTCTGTGAGTTCCAAGCCAGCCCTCACTACAGGGTAAAACACTCTTTGTTATCGCATAGACAAAATAAAACAAATAACAAAAACTAAACTGGACCACAAACTGGAGACTAAGATTCAAAACGTGAGCCTTCAGGGTACATTTCTGATTCAAACGACAAGACTACATTCAGCTGTATGAGCTAGCTTCCAGGGACTTAAAAGGTCAGTACTATAAAGGTACTGCTTTGTCAAATAAGGTATCTTGTCTTTCTTATCAATAAGTCAGTGATTCCCAAAATTTTGGGTTATAAATATGGACCATCTTCAAAACTTAGATGTATACCAGTTACATTTTTCTTGGAACAGACCACAGACATTTACACACGCACATCACACACACACACACACTCTCACAAACACACACACTTTGTATGTAATATATTTTACTGACCTCATTTTAAGATTCCCCTTCTGTAGACATGAGGAAATTAGAAAAAGAAAGTTCTGGAACAGAGCTTCTTTCCAAAATTCTTTGAGGCTTGTCTCCATGGTGACAGTTTCAAATGCCAAGTTCCAGGGCCATGTCTTCGTTTGATGAACCTCGGGATCCAATTATTTCTCATTATTATTTTTAACTTCTCCTCTTGCAGTATTTCTCTGTCTTGGCCCATATACTAGAATCACATGGAGGTTTTTAAAAGCTACTGAAGCTCAAACCACACCCCAATCAATTAAATCAGAATTGTTAGAGGGTGGGAGCAAGCTCTCCTTGGCCTCCCAAGCCATCCTGAGCATTTTAAGCCCCCCAAATGATGGGGCGCCCCTCTGTGTTTATTCTTTTCTTGTTGCTGAGACAGAGCACCTGGACAAGAAGCAACTTAATGGAGGAGGGGTTTACTTTGGCTTGTGGTTTGCAAGGACACAGTCAGTGAGGAAAGTTCACAGAGGTTCATGTGAGAGCGTGGGGTGAGATTATCCGTATCTCAGATGACCAGAAACCAGAGAACCCTGGCAGAAACCAGGCAGGGTTACTAACCTCTAACCCTATCTCTATGACCCTATACCTGCCAGTTCTGTATTAGTTGGTTGTTTCGCTGCAGGGACAAAAATACTTGACAAAAGCAATTTAGAGAAGGAAGGGTCTGGAGCTGGAGACATGACGATGTGGAAGCATAAGCCAAATACACACTTTACTTCTCATGTTGTTTTGATCATGGTGTTTCATCATAGCAATAGAAACCCTAAGACAACTCTGGCCTCTGCAGGAACATACACTCTATGCATTCAAGGTCAACCTAGTCTACATGGTCAGTTTTGGACAGCCAGGGCTACATAGAAAGAGCTCTGCAAATACCTGCATTCTATGAGTTCAAGATCAGCCTAGTCTACATGGCCAGTTCTAGGATAGCCAAGATATATAGAAAGACCCCATGTCAAAAGGAACAATAGATAGGTAGGTAGGTAGGTAGACAGACAGACAGACAGACAGACAGACAGACAGATAGATACATAGATAGATACATAGATAGATACATAGATAGATAAACAGTTATCAGTGTCCCACTGTCCACTCAGCTGCTTCTGCCTTGTTTTTGGACTTCCTATGAGGGCAGTTGGTTAATCCAATTACTTGCATTCCCAGAGGCTCACCACCAAGAGCACTTCTCAGTTGTTTGGCTGTTACTATAGGCTCTTGTTTATTTCCTTTTATTCTTACATGAGTCAGGATCTTGGACACATACCTCTCTCAATCATGTTGTCTTTATTTTTATAAGTCTCCTAGGGGCAAAACACAGTCTCCTGGATAACTTGCTTGAGGCCAAGGAGCCTGCAGAGACAAAGAAGGAGGCACTGTGCAGGTAGGGGCCTGTGCCTGAGGGAACTCTTAGGTTTGGAAAGAGCTCTGCCAGGGACTGTGAGTGCAACTTGATAGCACCCTCACCTGACCTTCCAAAGACGTCATGTGTTCCTTAGTAATGGCTTTGAACTTTGACATGGCAGAGGAGGTGTTCAAATAGCATCTATAGGTGTGCCTTGTCTCTGTTCCCTTGCTGGAAGTAATTTGAAGTTTCACTTTTGTTACAGTTTATTGCTTTCCAAATTAGAAGTTGTTAAATTTATTTATTTTTAATTGCAAAGCTACCAACACAAGACACCAAAGCAAAGAATTTTTACTTTTTGCTGGCCCTTTAAATGTAAGCTGGATTTGATTCATTAAATTTTTCAATTTTCTCTGAAGTCATTTTTGAATGTCTGTGGATATATTTATCACCTTTTTCCCTATGTGTTTCGGAGTCTGTTCTAAAGATGAGGAGGATGGTAAAGCAATACCAGGACACATTTGTGGCCTATAAATGACTTTACATGTTTTATCCACAATAATTGGGGGAGGGGGTGTTGAGACAGTTTCTCTGTGCAGCCTTGGCTGTCCTGGAACTCAGTCTGTATACCAATACGGACTCGAACTCGCAGAGATCTGCATTTGTCTGCCTCCCTAGTGCTGAGATTAAAGACATGCGCCACCACCACTGGCTTTTTTTTTTTTTTTTTTAATCTGACAGTTATTGATTGATTGTTTTTAGGGCCTTGTGTCTTGCTAGGCAAGCGCGGTACCATGGACTTCTCTACACAGCTTCTTTATTTATTTACTCATGTATTCATTTATTGTTTGTTTTTGAGATGGGGCTTCCAGAAACCCAGCTGAACCTTAAATTCCTTATGTAGTTAATGTCAAGGATGACCTTGAACTTCTTACCCTCTGCCTCTGCCTCTGGAGTACTGGGACTAGCAGCTGATAAGGTAATGGAGATGGGACCCCGGGCTTCATGAAGGCTAGGCAAGCATCTATTATCATTAGTCCTATTTTTTTTTTTTTCTGTTTTGAGACAGGGTCCTGCTAAGTTGCCCAATAGTTCTTTTAATGAATAAAATATCTATTTATTCTTTGTATATGTTTATATATATGCACACACCCCTGCAGATGTGCATATATGAGGGTCAGTGGACAATTTGAGGGTGTTGGTTTCTCTTCACTGCGTGGATTCTGGCGGAGGGGGCAGGGATAGAACTCAAGTTGCCGGCCTTGGCAGTAAACGCCCTGACCTGATGAGCCATTTTGCTGGGCCCCATTATTATTTTCAAAATCTGTTTGAGCATGTATCTCCTGTAAGTGCTCTGGATCGGAGTGGAATACAATATAAACACATAACTTGGCGTAATAACAAAGAGCATTTGGCTGAGTGGATCGAGACTCATAAACTGCCCCTCGCTATCAGCTTTTTCTTTAACCAGTTGACTGACATCCAGCAAGCTATCCCTAAGCAAGCACTAAGCAACAAATGCCTCAATCCCTTCAAACCCTAGTTTGCTCCTTGACTTTAGGAAGATCTTTAAGATAACTTTCCTCATAAAGGGAAAGAGCTAACCAAATGCAGAATACGCTAGTTAGTTTTGCCATCCGGAATAAGTTGACCATCCTTGAACCTCGAATTGTGGTAAAAACAGAGGTAAGCAGGTTTTGCCTCCTTCAGAAAGAGAAAGACTGGTTCTGCTCCCTTCTGCACTCTGAGCCAGTGCTCAGGACTCAGTATTTCACCAGGGTTTGCCTTCAGAAGTACTATTGTTGAGACATGGCTTTGTGAAGTTGTAACTAGAGTCCAGGAGCTCAGGGTACCTGTCACTACAAGGCCAAGGAGAGAGGGAGAACTGAATCTTTAAAGCTGTTGGTACTCAGAGAGCCAGTGATCTCAGAAGGCAGCCAGGTAGTATCCTACAAAACCCCTAAAAGTACCTTTCATCTCATCTCTAGACAGCAAGCTTTATAGGGATTAGGGGTGGGGTGGGGACAAAGAGAGTCAAACATTCTTCGGCTCAGTCTTACCCTTCTGATCAGGTGGTGTTCAGCCATGTTTCAGAGGCTCTGTGGTGTCTACGTCTCTCTGGTTCTCATCCCTTGACCTCTCAAATCCTGCTCTCACGCCGTGGCTATCTGGACACCGGTGCTTCTTAAAGTGCTGGGTCAGATTTGCTTCTGCTGGTATCTGTATAAACTGATGGCGTGACCACTCGTGCTGTGGTTAAGAGGAAGGTTTTTATTGTAGATATGAGAGAAAGAACAGCCAGAGATATCTGGGAGAGTCCAGAGAAGAGAGGGAAAGCAGTAGACTGAATATGGTCAGAAGACTGGCCCTGACTGTGAGAGAAGTGGGAGCAGAAAATAGAGTGATCATGGTGGGTGTCCAAAATAATGGGGGGCAGTGAGCTGAAGAAAGGTTTAGGGGAGGGAAGGAGGTGAGAAGAGCTAAGGCTCAGAAGGGTATGGCTGGTACCTGTGATACCGAGGAACCCTGGAGGCCAGCATCCACTTTGGTATGCTAATAGGCATCACAGCTAGCCAGTTGTCTCTTCTGCCATTTGGAATTTGTGGAGATGGAGTTTCCTTTGGACATGTAATACCTTGGGCCAGAAGGGCTGGGAAAGGGTTAACTCAGAACGAACAAACCAATAATAACACGTACATGGTAAGTTAGTATTAACATACATGTGCATATTCTGCCATATGACATGGAGTAAAATTGTGTCTTTATAATGCAGAGTAGAAAGTGTCTCCATGTGTCCCTCCTGCCATCCACAAAAGTATGAGCCAATATTAGAGGCTCTTTTTTCTATTTGGATAGATGAAAAGCAAACTGTCTTTCACTCTGAAGGGACTAGATGTTAGATTAATAAAAGATGGGGCTGTCAACCGATCTTCTATGCAAGAGGTTTGTTAGGTGGATATTAAGAGAGGGGGAGAGAGAAAGAAAGGGGCAGGGGGTGGGGAGAGACAGAGAGAGAGAAAGAGAGAAGAGCGAGAGAGCGACCACGTGTCCGGTTGTCCCTTTAAGGGGCAAGGTAACCACGCCCTCCAGGTGTGGCCACCTGGCTGGCGACACATGATGACATCATAAGTTGCTAGGTAACCCAGAAGCAGGTTTTCTTCCAAAATACTAACATTAGAAGTCTCAAGGATATGGTAGATCATCAATGACCAAATTTTTCTTGTTTGTTTTTAAATATTTTTAAGGCTTTGCTTTTTATTTGCATATATTTATGGGTGCATGTATGAGTTTATATATATCACACAGATACCCTCAGAGGCCAGAGGTTTTTGGATGCCTAGAACTGTGGTTACAGATGGTTGTGAGCTGCCTAATATGGTTGCTGAGAAACAAACTTGGGTCCTCTGCAAAATCAGTAAGTGCTCTTAACTACTGAGCCTGTTTTTCAGCCCCTTGTTTTGTTTTGCTTTTTTGAGAAAGTCTCATTGTAGCTCAGTATGGTCTCATCCTTTCTAGGTAACCAAGGGTGACTTTGAACTCCTAATTCTCCTGCCTCCACCTCCCAAGTCCTCTCTGGGATTCTAGTAAGCATCATTACACAAGGGTTTTTGGTATTTTTGTATTGTATTGTTTTTGTTTTTCTAGGCATGCTTTCTCTGTGTAGAACTGCCTGCCTCTGGGTCCTGAGGGCTAGGATTAAAGGCATGCACAACTGTGCCCTGTTTTACACATGGTTTTATGAGGTTCTGGGGTTAGAACCCGAGGCTTTATGCATGTTAGACAAGCTCTCTACCAACGGACCACATTCCCAAGTTCTTTAGTCCTTAAGACCCAAAAGCTGCTGTAAAAGAGTTGGAAAGAAAGTCTGGCAAAAGTGTATCAAAGGATCCAGGATTCAGTCTAAATGTCCCCCGGCTATGAATGTGAAAAGATAAGATCTCAGGACTCAAGGAAGTACTGCTTTGTCAGTGCTTGTCAATCAGCCTAATGGGACTGTGAAGGATAAGACAGGCTCTCCAGCCAGGAGGCATAGGAAGAGCTGTTTGTGTGTATAGAAGCTACAGAGTGCCCCGAGCTAGATACGAGTGACAATAGGCCTGCTACAGTGAATGTCCAAAAAGAGGTCAAACACACAAACAAAAGCTAAGTAAATCCTACGATGCATTGTAAAGCACTGGGGTCCAACTGCAGCCTGCCCTCTGGGGAAGACGGGGCAGCCGTCTAGATGAAAATAATAAGCCATAGCCTCCAGCGTATTCTAATGTCGGGAAGCACAGCCTTGTTTTCGTGCTCGTTAGAAAATCTTCTCTGTCTACTTATAGTGTAGCACTGCTGTTTTGTCACCACAACAAATGTAGAGGCCTATTTTAGTAAATATTCTAAAATACGGCATTTGAATTCATTACGTAGAAAGTGGACATCATAACTGGAAGGCCAACAGAAATATTGGAACCACAGGAGTAGGCTTTTTGAAGATTATAAAGATAAGCCTGCCTTTTAAAGATTTAGTTTTTAGTTGGGTGTGGTGGCGCACACCTGTGATCCCTGCACTCGGGGAGGCAGAGGCAGGCAGATCTCTGTGAGTTTGAGGCCAGCCTGGTCTACAAAGTGAGTCCAGGACATCCAAGGCTACGCAATGAAAGCCTGTCTTGAACGCCACCCCCCACCCCCCCAAAAAAAAAAGATAAGGAAAAGAAAAAGAAAAAAACAGAGAAATGTTTTTAAACTACTGGAGCTGGCCTAGCAGTTAAGAGCACTTGTTGTTCTTGCAAAGGACCCAGGTTTGATTCCCAGCATACATGTGGAGGCTTGAAGCCATCCGTAACTTCAATCTTGGGGAATCCAAAATCCTCTTCTGACCTTGGCAGGCACCAGGCATGCATGTGATACACATACATACATGCAGGCAAAACACTCATACACACAAAATAATAAAATAATTAAAAAAAATCTGAGAAAGAGCAGTGACAGGGTTTAGCAGGTTAAGGCTCTTGGTGCCAAACCTGATGCCCCAAGTATAATCACAATGATAGGAAAGAACTAACTCTTTGGCTCTCTCTCTCTCTCTCTCTTGTTTTTTTGAGACAGGGTTTCTCTTTGTAGCCTTGGCTGTCCTGTGTACTCACTTTGTAAATCAGGCTGGCCTCGAACTTATAGAGATCCACCTGCCTCTACCTCCTACAGTGCAGGCATGAGCCACCACGCCTAACTCCTTAATTTAAATTATTATTTAAATGCTTATTAAAGTCTTTGTGAGTGTATGTGTGTGTGTGTGTGTGTGTGTGTGTGTGTGTGTCTGATACATGTGTGGATATCAGTGGTTGACTCACAGGAGTCACTTTCTTCCCACCTGGTGTGCCTGAGGGATAGAAGTCCCATCATCAGGCTCGGTGGCAATGACCTTTACCACCAGAGCCATCTTGCCCGCCTAGAGTGAACTTTAAAAATTAAGATCCTTCTTTCTCGATATATGTTAAAAATACAGTATTTAGAGAAACCCACGAAGCTAAGGAGGAAATGAGCACTCCTCGTGTCCATGCCTGGAGACATTATTACTATTATGTACACTGCGGTGAATGTCCTTCCTGAAAGGAATCTACAGATTTTGAGTTGGTTGTACATACTGGGGAGTCATATTGTATACGAATTATGTATCCTGTTTCGGAGGCTCAGCAACTTCCTTTTTCTGTTTGTTTGGTTTTGTTTTTGGTCTTTGTTTTTAACAGGCATTTGACTATATCAAAGTCCACCTGGTAGATTCACTGTAATTTTTTCTAAGCACTTTTCTGAGTAGGATGCTGGTGATTTTGAAAAAGTGAATTCTCTGTTTTGATCACCTGAGTGAGAATTACTGTTACAATTTAGACTACTCCTAGCTTTGGGAGATCAGCTTCCAGACCAAGTTTGTAGCAAAGATGTAAAAAGTTGACAAATGCTTATGGTGTCTTCTGTAAAGACCTCGCAACTGTTACAGGCCTTGAAAGTAGAGCTGCGGTTTGGCTAACATTCTAAGCTTTCTTAATTTGTGTGCCTGTGGAGGAGGAAGGGAGAAAGAGAGGCAGGGGTGGGGGTGGGGGTGGGGGGGGAGTGGGGAAGGAGGCAGGGAGGGATGGAAGGAGAGAGGGAGAGACAATGACTACGGGTCAAAGCTGAGTGTCTTTCTCAGCTACCCACTACTTTGTTTTTGGAGGCTCTCTCGCTGAGCCTGGCATCACTAACACAACTAGACTAGCTGGCCAGCAAGCTTCAGCTTGTTTCTAATCCCACAGTGCTACAAGCTGTTGCCTTTCACAAGGTAGATGCTGGGAATGTGGACTCAGGCTCCCTGCTGTCTTGGCCAACACTTTACCCACCAAACCATCTCACTTGCCCTGTTAATTTCTTTCCTTCCCATTTTCTTTCTTTTTATCCCTTTCTTCCTCTTTCCTATCCTTCTTTTATCTCCTTTTCTCCTCCACCCTCTCTTTAAATTTATTTTTCTATTAGACAGGATTCTTTGTTTTCTATTGGAGATAGAGGTCTTCACATGTTGCTTAGGCTGGTCTCAAACTCAAGATTGTCCTAGGGGCTTCGATGACAGTTTCCATCTTGCCTGCTTCAAGTTTTCTGATCTTATCCTTACACTTATGGTCTTCCTTGGACACTCTTTATGTAACCATCTGGAGGACAGAGGGTGGAAAAAGACACCCTTTTCCATTTTTTTAAAAATGAAAAAGGGTTTGTGTTAATCCCAACTCCAAATCCGGTTTGTCAGCTAAAGGATTAAGTCTTGAGTGATTCTCCTCTGATCATGTGTGCTGTATAGACACAAGCTAGAATCATTAGAGAGGAGGAAGCCTCAATTGGGAAAATGCCTCCATAATATGTAAGAGGCCTGTTAAGACATTTTCTTAATTAGTAATTGGTGGAGGAGGGTCCAGCCCATTGTGGGTGGGACCATCCCTGAGCTGGTGTTCCTGGCTTCTGTAAGAAAGCAAGCTAGTAAGCAGTATTCCTTAATGGCTTCTGCATCAGCTCCTGCCTCCAGGTTCCAGCCTTGCTTGAGCTCATGTCCTGACTTCCTTTGGTGATGAACTGACATGTGGAAATGTAAGCTGAATAAACCCTTTCCTCCCCAACTTGTTGGTCATGCTGTTCCTCTCAGCAGTAGAAACCCTGACTAAGACAAATTGGTACCAGCATAGTGGGGGCATTGTTGTGACAGACTTGACCATGTTTTGGGGACGGTTGTGAAAGGGCTTTAGAACTTTGGGCTAGAAGAGTTGATGAATATTGAGAGCTCGGTGTGCCGTTGTGTAGGAGCTTGAAAATAATGTTGAAAGCAGTGCAGGTGACAGAGGCCTGGCTTATGAAGTTTCAGAGGGAAGCCAAGACTCTACTGGGCCTTTTGTGCGAAGAATCTGTGGTTCTGGTAAGCCAGGGCTGAAGAATCAACTGTGATTAGCTAGAAACCAGAACCGCTAAAGTGAAACCTTTACTTTGTTGAGATACACGGTGCTTGTCAGCTGTAGCTGAGACATTAGCCATAATGAAGAAGAGACCAGTATCGTTAATGGAAAGTGTTTCCTGAGAGTCAGCACACGGGAGCCGTGTTCCAGACATGGCCAAGGCAGTGCCTTGTGACGGCAGCTGAACTTGGTAGTGGAAGAGTCATCTACGTGGTACTGGGTTTGAAGTGGCTGAGGTTTGGTATTGTGTGGCCAGGCTGGAGACCCCAAAGAGAGCTCTGGAGAGGCTACTGGTAAAAGTGCAGCCCAGCTGCAGTAGAGGACCCTAGCATTTTGGAGTTGCCAGAGGATGACCACCGAGAACAGGGGCAGCAGTGGAGTGGAGCCAGCAGGAGCCCGGAAGACAAGCTGTGCGTGCTGCAGAGGGCAGAGCCGGAGAAGTGACCCCAAGCCCTTGGAGGTGCCCAGAAGATCGTGAGTGAATTCCTAACTAATAGAATAGAATCCCTAACTAAGACATTATGTAACTTATTTTTAAAAGCCACCTAGCAGTAACTCAGGGTGAGACCTACTCAGCTCTAATATACTCTAATATACTCTAATTCATTTAATGTCTCTTGACTCAGACTTGAAGCAGAAAAGTACCAAGTCTTCTAGAAGTTCACCAGAAAAACCAAGAGGGAATTTTCTTTTTCCTTTACCCAAGGTGAGCTCAAGCTTGCAAGGCCTTGTCACCATGTGTGGCCATGTGATTAAGAGTTACATTTAGGCTAGAGTATCACCTGATAAAAAGCTTGTGGCTAAATGTGGTGGCTGGCCTGTAATCCTAGAATTGGATAAGTAGAGGCAGGCAGATCACTGTGACAGGCTGATCTACTGTAGGTAGACCTGACCTGATAGCTCTAGGTCAGGGCTGCTGAGTAAGACCCTGTCCCAAAACAAAACAATCTCAAAACCAAAACAAACAAAAATTTCAAGGTCATGTATGGAGACTGGAACAGCATGTAAACAGGTTCGAAGATACAATGAGAAGTAGCTAGAAGAAATGGGTACCCAGACAACCTACCTACTTAGCAAACAGCTGTTCAATAAATGTAGGTGAGATCACCAAGATGACTTCTAAAATGCCTCTCTTTTTCAGAGTTAAGAAGAATGAGGGCTGGAGAGTTGGCTCAGCAGTTCAGAGCGCTTGTTGCTCTTGCCGAGGACTGGGCCTCAATTTCAACATATATATGGCAGCTCACAAATTCTGTAACTCTAGTTCCAGGGAGCCTGACACCCTCTTCTGACTTCTGAGGGTACCAGGCATGTACATGGTGCACATACATTCATGCCGGCAAAATACTTACACACATAAAATAAAATCAATCTTAAAAAATTAAAAAAAAAAGAAAAGTGAGTGAAAATATTTACAATACAGCAAACCTTGAAGAGCCAACATTTAAGTGTTTTTTTTTTTTTCTTCCCAGCTCAGAAAGACTTATTTATTCATCCATTAATCCCATGAATTATGTGGCTGGCGATTGGGAGATGAATAACATACTTCCTAGCCTCAAAGAAGTCTGTCTAATAACAGACACAGACTGAGATCATTTTAATGTGGTTTAAAAAACAGAAAAGTGCATTAGACTTTATGAGGCTATTTGTATAAACTGACAACACGACTGCTTCATAGTATGGTTATGGGAAGGGTTTTATTGTAGATGTGAGAGAACAGCCAGAGGCATCTGGAAGAATCCAGAACATAGAGCGAAAGAAGTAGACTGACTATGGCCAGAAAGCGGAGAACAGCAGGGGATAGAGTATAGAGAACACAGCAAGAATAGCAGAGCTATAAGGAGAATGAGTAGCTAGCTGGGGTGAGGACCACCTGAAAGCTGGAGTGAGCGGAGGGTTGTGGAAGAGGTAAGAGGGGCAAGATGCTAGCATGGACTTTGAAATGTATAACAGGTCCTAGTGATACCAGCATGTGCTTTGATATGCTAGCAGGCACCATGGGTAGCTATACGTCCTTTCTGCCAGAGGTAAGGAAATTACTTTTGTTTGGTAGAGGGGAACTAGCTTCACAGTGCCTGAGGAATTCTGGTCTTTATCTAACCACCAGAAACCCTCCTGTAGTCCAGGCTGAGATCATTTCTGGACATTTGGACCGTCTTTGGAGTTTGGGAGATTGGAGTTCCCTTTGGATCTGAAACCACCACCTCTTTCTTCTTTTCTTCTTCTGCTTCTTCTTCTTCTTCTCTTCTTCTTCTTCTTCTTCTTCTTCTTCTTCTTCTTCTTCTTCTTGTGTTTCGAGATAGGGTTTTATTTGTGTGTGTGTGTGTGTGTGTGTGTGTGTGTGTGTGTGTGTGTTTGTAGCCTTGGCTGTCCTAGAACTAGCTCTGTAGACCAGGCTGACATCAAACTTCCAGAGATGCACTTGCCTCTGCCTCCTGAGAGCTGCGATTAAAGCCAAACACCACCACTGCCAGGAGGAACTGACACTATTTTTTTTTATGCTTTATTTATTTTTATGTGCACTGGTGTTTTTTTTTTTTTTTCTTGTTTTGTTTTTGCACATATGTTTGTATGAGGGTGTCAGATCCCCTGGAACTAGAGCTAGAGCTACTTGTGAACTGCTGTGTGGGTGCTTGGGTCTTCTGAAAGAGCTGCCAGTGCTATTAACTACTAAGCCATCACTGGAGCCCGGTGGACCTGATACTATTAAGCCAACCTAGTTAAAGGTGAGTAGTAAACGGGAGAAAATGTCAGAGAAATGGGACTGGAAGAAGTTTCATTTAAATGGATTTAGTTGATTTTTTTTTTTTTTTTTTTTAATGTGTGTATGATAGCCAGGGTCTCCTATGGATATCCCAGGATAGGCTCAGATTCAGCTGTTCTTGAACTCCGGAGTCTCTTACATTGATCTCACAAGTGCTGCTGAGACTATAGGCATGTGCCAGCAGAACATGGGTTTTTAATCATTGATTTTACCACTTTTATTTCAATAGACCTGAGCCACTTTTTGTAACCATTCACTACATTTAAGTCTCTGTGGGGAGCCATTCTTAACTGCTTGCAGTAGCCTCTCTCATACATGGAAGATAACCTAATTCACCCAGATGGAACCAGCCCAGTTGTGTCCTTCTGGGCTCAGTGAACTTTCACCTTGGCCAGGCAGCGGCCAGTATGCATCACTGTCCTTTTACTTTGGGTTTTTTTTATTTGAGCCTGAGGCTCACCTACAGGGTCACTAGAGCAGCAAAAGGGGTATTCTCTAGAGATGGCCAGCTCACCCTATGGATGAGCCTAAGTTAACAGATGAGGCCATGCCCGAGTCCTGGCCCTAGTACAAGGGCTTGGGACAGTGAGGGGTGCAGACAAGCCAGGCCGTGGCCCACTTGGGCACCGCGGGCATACCTGGCACACAGCCCACAGCCGGAGCAAACTAACTAACAGCCCCAGCTCCGGGCAAGGCCCTTCGCGAGGGTCGCAGAGGGCGGGGCGGGACGAGAGCACGGCAGGAAAGAGGCGTGACCGACACAGCGCGGCCCGCCCCAAAGGCTCTCCGCCCCCTCGAGTGACGTCACCGGCCAGCCAGCGGGCGCCATTTTGAAAGTGGAGTCGCCTTCCCCTGCCGCCGCGGCCGCCGTCGCTGTCCTAGCCGCCGCCGCCGCCGCCGCCGCCGCCGCCGCCGCCGCCGCCGCCGCCGCCGCTGCTGCCGCCACGACTGCGGGAGAAGGAGCACGGGACGGGACGCCCCTGAGTGAAAGCCATCATCCTGCCGGCCGCTCCGCCCGGGCCGCTTCCCTTCCGCCCCGGTCCCCGTCCCCTCCCCCCTCAGGTGCCATCCGCCTCCATCCGCGCCCTCGATCCCCCCATCCCCAGGTGAGGGGCCTGAGCCCCGGTCGCGGAGACCCCGACGAGCCCGGCAGGGTCACCATTTGCAGCACGACATGGCAGGTAAAGGAGAAACGGCCCTGGGCCGGCTGACAGGGTGCCGCTTCCTCTGCGCGCTCTCCGTCACCCCCTAGCGACCGTGGTGGCGGGGCCTCGGCCTGGGGCGCTGGCCGAGTGCGGGGCAGCCGGGCGGGCCTGGCACTGAGCTGGGACGGGGGGGCCCGGAGGCTGCGCCCGGGCCTGGCACTCCACGAACGCCGCACGGGTGCGGTTGGGGTGGGAGACGGCGTGGGTGGGGCGGGTGCCGGCGTGCAGATGGGTCCCCTCTGCGCCCTGCTCCCGCCGCTCCGCCGCACAGACCCTGACCGGTCTCCTGCGAGCCTTCCTGTAGAAACATATTCCGGGCTGATAATAAGGAGCAGCGCTTTGCAAGTTAAAATACAATGGAGGCAATACGTACACCCTCCCTCCACCCCAGCACCACACACACATCACGGGCAGGTCATGTTGTGAGGGTGTGAGCCTGAATTTCGTTGCGATTGCGCTCCCTTCCATGTCTTTTATTTTTTCGCCACTCCCGAAGGCTAGGCCTTTAATAGAAGTTGCAGGGATTGGGGTGGGGGCTGGGTGGGAGAAGCTGGTGATTGAAACTTTGCATTTTGTACGGTAGCGTTTGTGCAGATGTCCTTTTCCCGGAAGGGTTTCTTGGAGTTAAAATAGTTGTGGAGTTCAGTGATATAAATAGCCAAAGGGAGAGAGATTTCATAAAAGCTTGCAGTGGGGGGGGGGGGGGGGAAGCATGGAGAAAGCCCGATTGGGAATTATTTAGCAAGGAATGGGTAAAGGAAAAAGCTAGGTTTAATGGCCTTTGAGGTGAGGGCCGATTATCTTTGTGTACATTTTGGTCTTGAAGCCCTTCAGCTAGTAGAGTAATTCTAGATGGATCTTCAGTTTCTTTTCCAGAAAGCTAGGGGTATCTCCCCCCCCCCCCCATTTCCTCTTTAGTGCTGGTCAGTGAGTGTTTGAGATAAACCAGTTTTCCCTGTCTTTTCAATATTTATGTAGATAATAGGACCTTTAAAGAAGTTATGTTCGGCAGGTTTACAGTTTGCTATATAAACAAGCTGCCCTTTGACCTTGCTGAACAATGAAATGATAATTGGAACTGTTTTGTAGGAGATGACAGATCAGCCAGGTTGCTCTTTCTGGGTCCTTTGCATTCTCTGGGTGGGGGAAAGGAGGCAGAAGCAACTTCCTTTGAGCATCTCTTCCCAGGCATTCATTTCCGCCCCTTTTCCTCTGTCTGCAGCCAGTGATTTGCTCCTAACAAATGCAAAGAAATGGGTTTTGTGTTTGCTTAGGTCACATGAATCATTCCTCCTCTCAGGCAGTAATGTTCCCGAAGTTTTCTCTTCGTTCTATATTTCATGGTAGTTTAGCCTTATAACTCTTCCATAGGCCTTTCTTTTCTTTCTTTTTTTATATTTAAACGAAAACTAACTTTGGGTATTTACTTTTTTTCTGGTAGGTCTTACTCTTCAAGGGGAAGGGAAAGTGGAAATGAGGTTTTGAATATCTGTACGATGATAGTTATTGTTAGACTGTATGCCTTTGAATATTTCATACCTACAGTCTTGTTTTTAATGCGCTACCAACGATTGGAGCCTAATTTGGTTCCAAATCTGAGGATTCAGTGGTGGTTATGTAGGGAGTATCATGCCAGCCTCAGATGGTAATCTCTGTGTTTATGAGGGTAAACAGAACAGAACTTGGTTTTAATTGCTGTGTTTTCTTCCAGGAGCTGGAGGAGGGAATGATATTCAGTGGTGTTTTTCTCAGGTGAAAGGAGCGGTAGATGATGATGTAGCAGAAGGTAAGAAAGTTTAACAATGACAACTGAGTATTGACTTAAAAGTCCTGGGCACTGAAGGAACTCAATGTTTTGTGTTTGTTGTCCAAGAGGTGGGACAGTAGTTTAAAAAAAAAAAAAAAGTACCTTTCTGAGAAAGTCTTTGTATCTCCTTTAATATCTTGCTTTACCTTATTTTTAAATTGAATTAATGAAGTAAATGGTGAGTGATAAGTGCTCTGTGATTCCTGTGATTAGGGTTTCCTTGTTACATAAATTCTACATGCAAATCACTGTACTTTCATGTGTGAGTGTGTGTTGTCTTTAGATAATAAGAAATAGATGGGATTGTTGTATTGGTTGATGTTGCTGAAAAAATGCTGGTTCAAATTATTGACTTTATTGTCTTGCAGGGATTCATGTGTGGGGTTAAGCTAGATAAGATATAATGATAAATCACCGTAGGAAACTTTTTTTGAGATAGAAACTTGGTAATTTCTTTCAGAACTTATCTGAAGTTTTGGAATGTCAAGGTCTTGCATGCATTTTGAAATGATCTTTTGTGTTAGAGACAGATAATCTCGAAAAGGCTTCTTTGCTCAGAAATGAAGTCTGTGTGGTTGTTGTGGTGAGGGAGGAGTGTGTGTGTGTGTGTTCCTGGATCCCAGGCTGCCTTGGAATTTGCTGTGTAGACTAGACTGGCCTTAAATTTGGAGATCCGCTTGCCTCTGCCTCCACAGTAAAGTTAGTGGGATTTTTCAAAACAGAAGTCAGAGAAGTTAGGGCTTTACTTCTGGTTTTCAAAAGGTTGTTGGTGAAAATGTATACTTCTTTTTCTAGATGAACCTTTCCCTAGTGGTCCTCCTCTGCTGTCCATGGACTGCTGTTGTGCAGTCTTTTCAGGTGGTGGTAGGCCAAAGACTGTTGACTCATGAGATGCTTGTGTGGTGACATTTGTCCCAATGTGTGCTCAGTGTGGTGAGTCCTATAGAAGGTCATTAGCATCCTTGTCATATTTTACAGTCTCTCCATCTTTGTTTTCTGGTGGGCCCTTATCCCTTTTTCACATGAGAAAGCAGAAACTTGGAAGAATTAACGAATTGGGAGACTGAGTCAGTGATGGTCACATAATTGGTGTGTGCTGGTTTTCTGTTGAACTAGTTTAGAGAAATGAAGCATATGTTGAAGGGAGGAGTCTTGTATTCCTGGTTTTGTAATTCCATTACCTGTTGAGTAGTCCGCACTCAGATATTGGATCTTGAGTTCTATGCTATTGCGTAATACTCACCACATTATGAAAGTGCTCTGTACTTGAAAAACATTCCCTGGTTGCATTCTGTTTATTCCCTTATCAAAGGTCTCCTGAATGCTAAGAACTGGGGTGTGTGGTGATAGAACATAAGCTGTCTACCCTTAAGAAACTCAGTTTGCTTGTTAATCATGGGACGGAAGACTTCATTCAAGCAGAAGAAACTGATTTTCTAAACTGAACAAGTGATGGTTTTTTGATACTACACATAGACACAGTGTATGTGTGATTCTTGTCTGGTAGTACTTCATAGCTTCACTTGGCTCTCAATTCATTAAATAACTTTCTAGGGTACGTGTGGTATAGCATGCTCCTAACAGTATCAACACTTGGAGTGTGTGCTGTAGGGAGATCAGGGCTTGTCCTAGTACTATGTCTTCACAAGCACATAAACAGCACTGTTTTCAGGTTATATACTGCTTTGGTTTGTAGATTCTCGGGAACTGGTTTGTACTAACCTTTGTCTATTATGTTTATTAAAGGGAAGTTTTCCCCTTTTAATGTAGAATATGATTATTAGACATGGCCCATAGATCGGGATTATAATCTTTAAGTGGTTGTCTCTAGCTCCACCTTTAGATTGTTTATGATATATTCTTAGGTCTTTGCTGTCAGTGGCTTATGTCTGACTGTGTGCTTGTAGTCAGCCAGCAGCCAGAACATGCTGATTTATTTGTTTAACACTTTCCTCTTTTATACATACCCCTATTCACTTTAGTCCAGTTTTGCTCCATTCCGTCTGGATTGCAGCAACACTTTTTTTTTTTTTTTTTTTTTTTTTTTTTTTTTTTGCCACACTTTTTTTTTTTTTTTTTTTTTTTTTTAAGTTTTGTGAGACAGTTTCTCTGTAGTCCTGGCTGTCCTGGAACCAGGCTGGCCTTGAATTCACATCCGCCTGCTTCTGCCTCCCCAGTGTTGGGATTAAAGGTGTGGCTACCACACCCAGCTGTAGTAACTTCTTAAATGAGTCCCACTTTCTTCTTGTATTTTACTTCTAATTTTAAACGAAATCATGGTTTGTCATTTTTCTCGGAAATCCTCAGTAGATTATTGGGTCCACTGGATTAGAAACTAAATTTAACATTTCAGCTGGCAAAGTATGACATTTCTTCAATATGTTTCTCTTAAGCTAATGAGGCCATTGAACTGATACTTTATAAGCAAACATTATGCATTCTACTTTGGATTGTTTTTGCTATTCTTGGGGGTTGAATGCAAGACAAATGCTATACCACTCAGCTCCATCCCCAGCCTGCTGATCCCATTCTGATATGTCTGACATCCTCCTACAATTGTTCCCTTATCAGAATCCTACTCACCCTCAGTCACACCTATAACCTTTAATTACTTCTGTGGAAATCACTTTTTAAAATCTATTTTACAGCACTTTGTTAAATAGACACTATAATTTGTGCCTTGAGCCTCCACTGTTAGATTGTATGCCTAGTGCCATTTGTTTCTCTGCAAAGGTCATAAGTAAACTGCTCTGTCTAGAACCGCACCTGGCACACTGGAGGTGTGTCTTGAGTATCTTGAGTGTCGGTGTTACTGTTGCTGGGTTTTTGAAAGGGAAAGAAGAGAGATGGAAGCTATAGTATAGTTGAGATGAACTTCTGGCACAGCCTTTCTGTTACTAGTTTGCTGTTTTATAATATAGCAAAGGCAGGAGTCCTTGCTCCAATGTGAATGAGAGTCTGTTGCTCTAGATGGAGCCCTTCTGGGTACCTGTACTAAGACATAAAAATGACAAGACTGGATGAAATGATTTCTGCTCTTGTTAGTTCCCAAAGATGTCAGAAAGAGGTAGCCCCATATTATCACTACTGAGAAATTGTTTAAGAAACTGACTCAGTAGGGGTTTTAATTAATGTCTTCACTGGACTGACTTCTCAAGCCTCGGGAGTTTTTATTAAGTACAGAAAGGGTTTGCCCATTTGGTCTTCAAGGCAGGACACTTAAACCCATGTAAAGTTACTATTGTTCTGTCTATACAGGTCTATACAGGCCTGCAGGCATTCAGCTTCTGTGTCTGACCTTTGGAATAGCGTCTCTCTTGAGAGGAAGTCGAGGTACTAAAATCTGTCATTCTAGTTTTCTCATGTCATGGAGTTCTCATAGTCTGTGAAGTCACTATTGCATTTTAAGTCTTTAATTTTCCTTGACTTGTAACTTTTTGTTATGAGTTGGTAAGAGTACAGACTCTGGTCTTGGGTTAAAGTTTTGAGTCTTTTTTAGTCATTACTTGTGGTGGGCAAATAAGTTCGTCCAGTTTTTCCTCCATTATAAAAAGTTTACTGTAAACCCTAGTGTTATTTTGATGTTTAATTGAGTTATGACTATAAATCAGAATGCTACGATGCACATAAGAATAGACAGACTTGTGTTGTTTTTGAGACATGGTCTCAGTAGTTCTGGCTGATTTGGAACTTGTTTGCTGGCCTTGAAGTCACAGAGATCCACCGCCACCTGCCTCTCAAGTGCTACCAGGCCTGGCCTGTTGATTTTTTTGAGACCAGGTCTTTTGTGGACTAGAACGCTTCTGTGGTATAGTCTGTGCTGGCATGGAACTCAAGCTCTTCCTGCCTCACTGCTGGTATTGCTGGTATTAAAGGCATAAGCATGCCTTTCTTTTGAGAGCCTTGTAAAAGATTTCTTTTTATGTCAGTGCTTAGAGCAAGTAAGGGATAATTAGAGTGAAGAAACTGGGGGATTGTCTTGCTGTTTGTTTTATGTGTGGGTGTTTTGCCTGCATATACATCTTTGTACTGAGTATGTGCCTTTTGCCCATGGAGGTCAGACAAGGGCGTTAGGTAGCACACAGTTGTGAGCTGCCATGTAGGTGCTTGTAACTGGACTGGAGTTCTTTGGAAGAGTTTTTAGCCAGTGTTCTTATCCCCTGAGCCATCTCTACAGCCCCATTGAGTACTGTCCTTAAAATAGCTACTAAAATTTTGTTAGCCAAAGTGAAGGCACAGTATATGTATGTATGTGGAACCTCAAACTGTACAGCTGTGTGATCTTAAACTTCTGACCCTCTTGCCTTTACCCCCCAAATGTTAGGATTATGGGACAGTGCCACGACATCATTATATATATATATATATATAGCATTGTACTTCGCTTATTCTCTTCCCTCACTGATCCATGTTCTTTTGATTGTACTAGCAGCGTCTAAAACAAATTGAAGACTGAATTGTAGATTATAGACAAATATGAAGCTGATAAGATCACAAAAAGAAGCTACTAATTAGCATGAGAGTAACCCCTCTAAGCAGGTGGGAGGGAGGTCCTGACAAGGTTGGGGTGCCTCAGACATCTTGACCTGAGTAAGTAGGTATATAGATGTTTGTCATTTTTTATTAACCTGGACATTTTGGGGGGGTGGGTTTGTTTGTTTTTAGACAGGGTTTCTCTTGTGTAGCCTTGGCTGTCCTTGCTTTGTAGACCAGGATGGCCTCGAACTCACAGTGATCCGCCTGCCTCTGCCTCTGAAAGTGTTGGGATTACAGGCATGAGCCATTGGCTGCTTTGTTTTTTTTGTTTTATTTTGTTTTGAATCCAGTGTTCTGCTAATGACTTTAGAATGATGCGTGGTAAAACTGGCTTTACTTTTCTTGTCATGTTCCTTGTGCTCACTTGAGTCTCTGGAGGAGTAAAATAATGATACATCTATATCAAGTTTGCATACTTTCAAGTCCGTTTTCTCTTTAGTAGA